GGAGCTGAGTCTCAACCCATGCAACACACAACACACACACACACACACATACAGAATGGATGGATGGAAGAGCAATGCAAAAGGATGGAACGAGAGTGGGAGAGAAAACTACGAGAGCTTGCTGAAAAAATGGAGACAGAGCTTTCTGTGAAATTGGAAAAGAGGTTGGAGGAGGAGAAGAAGCATTGGGAGTCCCAAGTCGAAACTGCAGTAGTCAGGATAAGGGTCCTAGAATATGAGGTAAATAGGCTGAAGAGAGGAGGCAGAGGAGAAGCAAGAGATTACACAGTACTAACGCTTCAGTCTGGAGATCCCAAGGTGGTAATTGCTGTGATGTCTAACCCACCACAGAACAGCAGGAAGCCAAGGCAAGAGTATGATGAGAGTAACAGAGCGATGGTTGACATACTGGCTGAAGTGGCCAGAAGGGATCATGTGAGCAGGTCAAAGCTACTGATCGTGGGTGACTTCAACCACAAGGAAATCGACTGGGAGAACTTGGATCTACATGGGGGCCAAGAAATGTGGAGGGCTTTTTGATGGAAGTGGTACTGGAAAACCTCATGTACCAATACGTAAAGGACACTACCAGAGAGAGAGAGAGGAAAGGATGAACCAGCGAGACTGGACCTAGTATTCACCTTGAGCAGTGCAGATATTGAGGACATCACATATGAAAGACCCTGGAAGCCAGTGATCATGTGGTTTTAAACTTCGAATACATAGTAGAGTTACAACTGGAGGGAAAAGCAGGAAGGCCTGGATGAATGAAGCCAAACTACAAGAAAGGGGACTACGCAAGCATGAAGAATTTCCTCAATGGGGTTCGGTAGGACAGAGAACTGGCAGGAGAGTCAGTAGACGAGATGATGGAATATGTGACAACAATATGCAAGGAAGCTGAGGAGAAGTTTGTACCCAAGGGTAACAGGAATAATGAAAAAGTCAGGTTGAGCCCATGGTTCACCCAAAGGTGCAGGGAGGCCAAAACCAAGTGTGCTAGGGAATGGAAGAAGTACAGAAGGCAAAGGACCCAGGAGAATAAGGAGACCAGTCCTGAGCCAGAAATGAATATGCACAGGTAAGACGGGAGGCCCAAAGGCAATATGAGAATGACATAGCAGCGAAAGCCAAATCTGACCCAAAACTGTTGTACAGCCACATCAGGAGGAAAACAACAGTCAAGAACCAGGTAATCAGGCTGAGGAAGGAAGGAGGGGAGGTCACAAAAAATGACCGCAAAGTATGTGAGGAGTTCAACAGGAGATTCAAAGAAGTGTTCAAAGAGGAGACAGAAGGGCTTCCAGAAAGGCAGAGAGGTGGGGTACGCCATCAAGTGTTGGATATAATACTTACAAATGAGGAAGAAGTGAAGAGGTTGTTAAGCAAGCTAGATACCTCAAAGGCGATAGGGCCAGATAACATCTCTCCATGGGTCCTGAGAGAGAGAGAGAGAGCAGAGGCACTTTGTGTATCACTAACAACTATCTTCAACGCATCTATCAAAACAGGACGACTACTGGAAGTTTGGAAGACAGCAAATATAGTCCCAATTTTTAAAAAAGGAGACAGGCATGAAGGATTCAACTACAGACCAGTGTCACTGACGTGTATAGTATGCAAGGTCATGGAGAAAATTATCAGAAGAGTGGTGGAGCACCTAGAAAGGAATGAGCTCATCAGCGGCAGCCAGCATGGTTTCAGGGACGGGAAATCCTGCGTCACAAACCAACTGGAGTTCTATGACAGGGTGACAGCAGTAAGACAAGAGAGAGGGCTGGGTAGACTGCATTTTCTTGGACTGTAAGAAGGCGTTTGACAGTTCCACACAAGAGATTAGTGCGGAAGCTGGAAGACCAGGCAGGGATAACAGGGAAGGCACTACAGTGGATCAGGGAATACCTGTCAAGAAGACAAGAGCGAGTCATGGTACGTGGTGAGGTGTCAGAGTGGGCACCGGTAACGAGCGGGGTGCCACAGGGAGCAGTCCTAGGACTGGTGCTGTTTCTGAACGACATGAAAGGAATAGACTCCAAAGTGTCCCTGTTTGTAGATGATGTGAAGTTGATGAGAAGAATTCAATCAGACGAAGACCAGGCAGAACTACAGAGGGATCTGGACAGAGTGCAGGCCTGGTCTGGAAACTGGCTCCTGGAGTTCAACCCCACCAAGTGCAAAGTCATGAAGATTGGGGAAGGGCAAAGAAGATCACAGATGGAGTACAGTCCAGGGCACCAAAGACTACAAGCCTCACTCAAGGAGAAGGATCTTGGAGTGAGTGTAACACTGGGCACATCTCTTGAGGCGCACATTATCTAAACTGCTGCAGCATATAGGTGCCTAGCAAACCTAAGACTAGCATTCCAACATCTCAATAAGGAATTGTTCAGGACCCTGTATGCCATGCATGTCAGGCCTATATTGGAGTATGCAACACCAGTTTGGAACCCACACCTAGCTAAACAAGTACAGAAATTAGAGGAAGTGCAAAAGTTTGCAACAAGACTAGTCTCAGAGATAAGGGGCATGTCCTACGAGGAGAGGTTAAGGGAACTCGACCTGACAGCACTGGAGGACAGGAGAGATGAGGGGATGTGATAATGACATATAAAATACTGAGAGGAATTGACAAGGTGGACAGAGACAGGAAGTTCCAGAGATGGGACACAGCAACAAGGGGTCACAATTGGAAGCTGAAGATTCAGATGAACCACAGGGATGATAGGAAGTATTTCTTCAGTCACAGAGCTGTCATGAAGTGGCATAGTCCAGGATGTGATGTAGTGGAGGCAGGATCCATACACAGCTTTAAAAAGAGGTATGATAAAGCTCATGGAGCAGGAAGAGTGATCTAGTAGCAACCAGTGAAGAGGCAGGGCCAGGAGCTGTGACTCGACCCCTGCAACCACAATTAGGTGAGTACACACACACACACACACACACACACACACACACACACACACACACACACACACACACACACACACACACACACACACACACACACACACACACAAGATTTGTGCATAAGCTGGAGGACCAGACAGGTATAACAGGGAAGGCACTACAATGGATCAGGGAATACCTGTCAGAAGACATCAGCGAGTCATGGTACATGGCGAGGTGTTAGAGTGGGCGCCTGTGTTGAGCGGAATTCCACAGAGGTCAGTCTTAAAACCCATGCTGTTTCTAGTATATGTGAATGACATGATGGAAGGAGTAGACTCAGAAGTGTCCCTGTTTGCAGATGATGAGAAGTTGATGAGAAGAATTTAATCAGATGAGGACCAGGTGGAACCACAAAGGGATCTGGACAGGCTGCAGGCCTGGTCCAGAAACTGACTCCTGGAGTTCAACCCCACCAAGTGCAAAGTCATGAAGATTGGGGAAGGGCAAAGAAGACTGCAGACAGAGTACAGTCTAGAGAGCCAGAGACTACAAGCCTCACTCAAGGAAAAGGATCTTGGGGTGAGTATAACACCGGGTATATCTACTGAGGCACACATCAACCAAATAACTGCTATGGCATATGGCACCTAGCAAACCTAAGACTATCACTACAACATCTCAATAAGGAATTGTTCAGGACCCTGCACACCATGTATGTCAGCCTATATTGCAGCACCAGTTTGGAACCCACACCTAGCCAAGCATGTAAGGAAATTACAGAAAGTGCAAAGGTTTGCAGCAAGACTAGTCCCGGAGCTAAAGGGCATGTCCTATGAGGAGAGGTTAAGGGAAATCGACGAGATGACACTGGAGGACAGAAAAGATGGGGGGATATGATAACGACATATAAAATACTGAGAGGAATTGGCAAGGTGGACAGAGACAGGATATTCCAGAGATGGGACACAGCAACAAGGGGTCACAATTGGAAGCTAAGACTCAGATGAACCACAGGGATGTTAGGAAGTATTTCTTCAGTCACAGAGTTGTCACAAAGTGGAACAGTCTGGGAAGTGATATAGTGGAGGCAGGATCCATACATAGCTTTAAGAAAAAGTATGATAAACCAGTGAAGAGGTGGGGCCAGGAGCTGTGATTTGACAACTGCAACCATAACTAGGTGAGTACATACACACACACACAAATAGTTTTTGAGTTATTATTCAACAGATGTTTATTAAGTTAAGATGGATTTTATGTGATTTACTGTTGTGAATCCCAAGGCACAGAGAATAACACATTTTTCAAAGAACTCTCACTGTTTCATAAATCATGTTGGATGTGAGTGCTGAATTTTACTTTGCTGTCAAGGTGCATACCCAAGAATTTTCTCTCATCATGTCTTTCAATGTTCATTTAAATATTTTAAGTTTGCCTGCTTCCCTTCACACCAGGGGTGGGCAAACTTTTCAGTGCAGGGGCCACATTCAGAAATTCATGGGTAACCTGTTAATATTCCACAATATTATTTGGCATTGCATGGTAACATTTTTTTTCAAATTTACTAACAATTTGTCCCCAAATAACGTGAGTATATGACTTGATTTTGGTGGGCTGCATGAAAACCTTCGGCAGGCCGCATATGGCCCACGGGCTGTAGCTTGCCCACTGTGGCCAGGTACTTTGCATTAAGTTAAAAAAAATTCCTTCCTGCTTCTACATGATGACTGACTGGCTCAGTCAAAGGGATGACTCTCTTATACCTCAACTGCTCACTAGCCTGCAATTTTTTTTAAACGGGGTCATAACTGCATTATACGAACTTTTGATGGATATTCAGTGTTACCTCTAATAATGAATCCCCACAGATATCAAGGGATTACTGTATTGTATTGTATTTTATTATATTGTAAATGGTTAAAAGTTTGCAAATGGGCAAAATTATTTACAAACATTATCTCTCAATTCACAGCAGGATTCGAACCTGCACACTCTGCATCAAAAGTACCTGGGTGTGTGGATGAAGTACTGTTTACTTTGATGCTGAGTGTGCAGGTTCGAATTCTGCTGTGGACTGAGAGATGTTTATTATATTGTATATCAAAACTCACCATCTCCTTTCTTAGCACTGCTAACTGAGAGTCTAAGGTGGATGGCCTGCGTTGCCTGGGAGGACCATGTGCAGGACTTAGTCTAGGATTATTTCCAGAGATTGAACCAGGAACTGGAGGACTTCCTCTTGGACTATGACTTTTATTGCCTGAGCCACATCCACTTTGGTTGCGTGGAGATGTTGAGTGACTGCGTGGTGATGAACGAGGAGTGAATCCCTGCATGGAACCATTAGCATAATATGGTTCAAATGCACTCGCACCATAGCCCACTCCAGAATAGTGTGAGCGAGCAGATTCCGGGCGAGAGTCCATACGTGATTCAGTCCGTGAATCAGCTCTTACAGGACTGTAACGTTCAGTATTAGGCTTCACAGGTGGACTGTATCGCTCTACTCCACCACTAACACTTCCACTTGCCCCACCTCCATTACCACCACCAGCAGCGCCATCTCGACGACCAGCCAAGTTAATAAGACCACTAAGACTTTTGGGGAGAGGTGGCAGTCCCTGAATAGTTGTCATCTTTACAGTATTATATGACTAGTGATTAAGTATATGAGAGTCAACTCAAAGGTAATACGACTGTTGCTTACAGAAATGAAACGTGATATGTCTGTAATGCTTCTACTTACAACTCCTGAACCCTACCAGTGACAAATCATGGATTTCCCATATTCACACAATTCAATAAAATTAAAATTCTGTCCTTTCTAACATCTTTTTTTTCTGAAATTTAAAGTACGTATAATCTTCAGAATCTGAAATAAAAAATAATAAGCATTAGTTAGATAAAGTTTCAACCTTACAAGTAAAATGTGAATTTTTTTTTCTGTATCTCCATCATTAATTACTATCTTCACTACACAATAATAATAATAATAATACAATAATAATAGCAATAATAATATCTTTATTTCTACAAGTACATGGTACAAGGTATACAGGCCTAGATGACATCAATGACATATGTACTATTGCGTGTTCATGTAAATAGAAAGCCCTTTGTTATGCAGAGCATTTTGGGCAAATTAGGTCATTTTGCTCCAGGATGCAACCACACAAGAGGTGTCTCCACCATACAAGTTGTGTCTCCAACACACAAGTGGTGTCTCCAACACACAAGTGGTGTCTTCACCACAAAATTGGTTAAGGCAATATTTCCACCAATGGAAATAAGTCACTTTGTCTCTGACTTTTTTGGGTTATCCTAGATTCTTACACATACTACACATATGCTGCTATGTAAGATAATCTACGTAACTGTATTTGTGTATACCTGAATAAACTTACCACATTAGCAATACCGACACCAAAAGAGTACATCAGTTTTACTTATTTCCATTATAATAATAATATACATGTAATAATAATAATAATAATAATAATAATAATAATAATAATAATATCCTTATTTCTACAAGTACATGTACAAGGTATACAGGCCTAGTTGACATCAGTGACATACTACTACAGTGGACCCTCGACTAACGCTATTAATCCATTCCCGAGAGCTCATCGTTAGTCACAATAATCGTTAGTCAAGTTAATTTTCCCCATAAGAAATAATGGAAATCAAATTAATCCGTGCAAGACACCCAAAAGTATTGAAAAAAAAATTTTACCACATGAAATATTAATTTTAATACACACAAACTGAAGAAGACATGCACAGTTACATGACACTTACCTTTATTGAAGATCTGGTGATAATTGATGGGATGGGAAGAGGGGAGTGTGTTGATGGTCTTAGTGTTTAGAAGGGGAATCCCCTTCCATTAGGACTTGAGGTGGCAAGTCCTTTTTCGGGGGTTACTTCCCTTCTTCTTTTAATGCCACTAGGACCAGCTTGAGAGTCACTGGACCTCTGTCGCACAACATATCTGCCCATAGAGGCCTGTACCTCCCGTTCCTTTATGACATTCCTAAAGTGTTTCACAACATTGTCAGTGTCACCATTAAACACTTGTTCAGATTTCAGTCCTTCACTGTCTATGTACTCCTTGAATTCCTGCACATATTTTTCAACTGCTTTTTGGTCCAAACTGGCAGCCTCACCATGCCTTATCACACTATGTATGCCACTACGATTCTTAAATCTCTCAAACCAACCTTTGCTGGCCTTAAATTCACTCACATCACCACTAGTTGCTGGCATTTTTCTAATTAAATTGTCATGCAACTTCCTAGCCTTTTCACATATGATCGCTTGAATCATATGTGCTATCTGTTTTTCGTTTATCCATACCAATAACAGTCTCTCAACATCTTCTATCACTTGCGATCTCAGTTTCGAAAACATAGTTGCACCTTTGGCAAGAACAGCTTCCTTGATTGCCGTTTTCTTGGCCACGATAGTAGCGATGGTTGATTGGGGTTTTGTGTACAGCCTGGCCAGCTCGGAGACATGCACTCCACTTTCATACTTAGCAATGATCTCTTTCTTCATATCCATAGTAATTCTCACCCTTTTTGCTGTAGGTTGGCACTAGAAGCTTTCTTGGGGCCCATGGTGACTTTTTGCAGGTGCAATCACTAAAAAGGCTGTGATAATATGAAATGTTCCGATTGTATGCTTGGAAGCGACCGCGGTGGCTGGCTGGCTTGTAAACACTGGCCAGAAGTGGACGCATCTCAGACGGAACGAATAGTGTTGGTCGAGTTTTTTAGCACTAATCGAGGCAAAATTTTTGCGATAAAATGTATCGCTAGTCAGATTTATCGTTAATCGATGCCATCGCTGGTCGAGGGTCCACTGTATATAGAAAGTCCCTTGTTATGCAGAACATTTCAGGCAAATTAGGTCAATTTTGTCCCAGGATGCAACTCACACCAGTCGACTAACACCCAGGTACCCATTTTACTAAGGGGTGAACATGGACAATAGGTGTAAGGAAACACCCAATGTTTCCACCCTTGCCAGGAACCGAACACAGATCCTCAGTGTGTGTGAAGTGAGAGCTTTGTCTACCAGGCCATGAGCCACCTTGAAGGTCCTTAGGTCCTGTTCCAGGATGCAACCCACAAATTGACTAACCCCCTGGTATCTATTTACTACTAGGTGAATATATAAAATATGTCTCACAAGACTTACCTACAGGTCTCAAAAAGTCCAGGATTCAACCCTTGTCTTTTGGTTGTGAGCCAAATGTTTTATCACTGAGCTACAAGGTACAGATTACTGATTTCAATACTTTTCAATGAAAATCATTACAGGTCAGGCCTCAAAGTCTAAAAATATCATTTTTATTTATTATACATATGAGAAGCACTAAACCCATGTAGGTTATTTATCTGAGGGCAAAAATGTTTCCTTGATAATGTGAAAGATCACAAAAGTACTTGGAATAATACTTACAATGTAACCTCGGTTTTCGTCATTAATTCGTTCCAGAAATTCCAACAAAAACCAAATTCAATGAAAACTGAAGCAATATTTCCCATAAGAAATAATGTAAATCCAATTAATCTGTTCCAAACACCCAAAAGTATTAACAAAAAATATATTTTATAGAAAATAACTATAGTTTTACATACAGAAACAATGAGAAATAAATATAAAGGACTAACAAAATGGATAAATGAACATTTAACATCACTTTTACCTTTATTGAAGACTCTTGCTGGTGTATGGAAGACAGCTAGGAGGGGAGATTGAGGAGAGGATATCTCTACCACCATCACAACTACTACCACCCTCTACCACCATCACAACTACTACCACCCTCTACCACCATCACACCACCCCCACCCCCAAACCCACTACCACCCTCTACCACAAATCATTTACCACCATCACAACCACTACCACCCCACTACCACCTTCTACCACCATCACTTACCAACCTCTACACCAATCATCCCACCTTTACTGACGAGAAACAAAGCCAGACTGACTCAGAACGCGTGGGATGCTTTGTGTGGGCGTGGGCGAACACTTCCGTACTGCGGACCACTGTCAACTCAATGAACACAGGGGTGATGAACGAAAACTGGGACAAAATTTGGACAAAAACAAGTCGTCGAAAACTGATTCAAAGAAAACCAGAGCAAACGAAACCGAGGTTCCACTGTATTTTTTTGTGGTTATATTGCATAAATGCATGCCAAGTCATGTAAAATAACACACATAATGGGGATTATGACAGTCTATTGTGAAGGTGGTTCATCTGCCACCAGGGACTTTGATGAACTGGTGAAGTCAGAGACTTTGATGTGTGGATAAATTCAGGGCCTTTGATGAATTGATTGTCAGGGACTTTGATGAATTTATGAAGTTAGGCACTTTGAGTCAGGGGCTTTGATGAACTGATAAAGTCTGGGACTTTGATGAGCCGATGGAGTCACGGACTTTGATAAATGGATAAATTCAGGGACTTTGATGAATTGATAATCAGGGACTTTGATGAATTTATGAAGTTAGGAACTTTGATAAACTGATAGTCAGGGACTTTGATGAATTGATAAAGTCTGGGACTTGATGAACTGATGAAGTCATGGACTTTGATAAATGGATAAATTTAGGGACTTCAATGAATTGATAGTCAGGGACTTTGATGAATTTATGAAGTTAGGGACATTGATGAATTAATAGTCAAGGACTTTGTTGAATTGATAAAGTCATGGACTTTGATGAATTGATAGTCAATGACTCTGATGAACTGATAAAGTCAGGGACTTTGATAAATTAATGAAGTCTGGGACTTTGATGAATTGATAAAGTCAGGGACTTTGATGAATTGATAAAGTCAGGGACTTTGATGAATTGATAGTCAAGGACTCTGATGAATTGATAGTCAAGGACTCTGATGAACTGATAAAGTCAGGGACTTTGATCAATTAATGAAGTCTGGGCCTTTAATGAACTGATAGTCAGGGACTTTGATAAACTGATAAAGTCAGGGACTTCGATGAATTCATGAAGTCTGAGACTTTGATAAACTGATAAAGTCAGGGACTTCGATGAATTCATGAAGTCTGAGACTTTGATGAATGGATATATTCAGGAACTTTTAAAGCTCATCATGAATAAAATGTCTTCACAATAACCCACATTGTCTTATTTACATACCATCAATATACTCTACCATCATATTAACAATACCTGGCAAGGCATGGGAATAAAATAAGCTTTATTCGTAGAATCTATACATGGTTTTACAGACAGAATTCTAAACCTGACATCGATGGAAATCTAGTTAATGCTACTTGACCTTACCTGGAGTTTACTTGGAGAGAGTTCCGGGGGTCAACGCCCCCCGGATCCACCAGGCCTCCTGGTGGATCAGAGCCTGATCAACCAGGCTGTTGCTGCTGGCTGCACGCAAACCAACGTACGAGCCACAGCCCGGCTGGTCAGGAACCGACTTTAGATGCTTGTCCGGTGCCAGCTTGAAGACTGCCAGGGGTCTGTTGGTAATCCCCCTTATGTATGCTGGGAGGTAGTTGAACAGTCTCGGGCCCCTGACACTTATTGTATGGTCTCTTAACGTGCTAGTGACACCCCTGCTTTTCATTGGGGGGATGTTGCATCATCTGCCAAGTCTTTTGCTTTCATAGTGAGTGATTTTCGTGTGCAAGTTCGGTACTAGTCCCTCTAGGATTTTCCAGGTGTATATAATCATGTATCTCTCCCGCCTGCATTCCAGGGAATACAGTTTTAGGAACCTCAAGCGCTCCCAGTAATTGAGGTGTTTTATCTCCGTTATGGCGCGCCGTGAAGGTTCTCTGTACATTTTCTAGGTCAGCAATTTCCCTGCCT